CTATGGCATGGTTTGTTACTTGCAAGTGGCCTGTTGTACACAGTTACCAACAGTTTTTAGAACCATATCCTGAAGTCTAGAGGGGAAGTTTTGGTCCCCCCTGGATTTTCTTTTGTAGCCATACAGTTCCCAGGAACCAAATATCTAGGAGGCTGTGGGAGGGAGGTCTAGAGTTTCCTTTGTTCAGTTTTGGCCCTAGACTCTGGGAGGCCAGAGGATCTGGAGTTTCCTAGTGTCAGAGGCTTAAATGTCTTTTCTGTAGCCTGTCATGGCTGCTAAAGCAGGGGGCAGAGTGAGGGTCTGGTCCCTTTATTTTTAAATTATTGGAAATGAAGCCTTTGAGTTTAGTTTACCCCTTTCAGTTCTATCTTACAGTGGTAGCCAGACCTGCATCTCCTTTGCCTGCTACATGATGACTGCTCAGCATCTCTCAGAGAAGACAGTGATTTCCTGTTTTTCCCTACTTATATCCCGAGTCTGCCCAGCAATGTCACTTTCTGCCTGTCTGTATAGATCTCCAGACCTCTATGGTCAGCTAGTGGCAGTTTCTGACTGGCTATGTCACTTCCTGGGATCACAAGACAACTTCTCTCTGCCTACACCTCTCAGAATCCTCCTTGTCTCCTAGTCCTACCTATCATCCTGCCTGGCCAGTCAGTGTTTTATTCATTGACCAATAAGACAAGCATATACATAGAAGAACATTCCCCATCATATGTTTGCATGTATGTATGTATGTGTGTGTATGTATGCATGTATGCATGTATGCATGTATGTATGTATGCATGTATGTATGTATGTATGTATGTATGTGTGTGTATGTATGTATGTATGTGTGTGTATGTATGTATGTGTGTGTGTGTATGTATGTATGTATGTGTGTATGCATGTATGTATGTATGTGTGTGTATGTATGTATATATGTATGTATGTATGTGTATGTATGTATGTATGTGTGTGTATGTATGTATATATGTATGTATGTGTATGTATGTATGTATGTATGTGTGTGTGTGTATGTATGTATATATGTGTATGTATGTATGTATGTATGTGTATATGTATGTATGTATGTGTATGTATGTATGTATATATGTTCAGCTTAGCAACTTCTCCAATCAAATCTCTTTCTGCAATCAAAAAAATCAAAGAAAACACAATAATATACATAATCCAAACTTTTTTCCAACTTTACTTGACTTATATCACTCTATTTCATTGTCTTTAAATTACTCTTCTAATCTGTGACTTTCTCCTTTTTCCTCCATCTCTCTCTCAAGGATATGTACATTTTTAAACACACTGTGACTGGTTCAGAGGTGGTTTTTTTTGTCTGAATCTGTCCATATTGTGTGTCCAAAATCCCTTTATGTCCAGCAGAATTTTTTTAAATGTTAAGCGAGCATGGCTAGAACTAATGTGGTTGCCTGCCTGTTCGGCTTTCAACCTGGCCGGGCAGCAAAAGGCATTATGGCCAACTCCCCCATGCTATGCTGCTATCATGTAGTGTGCAACTGGTCCATATTGTTTTTTTTTCTTTTTGTATGAGTAAAAGCTGAATCTTCTACCCAGTGCATTGTGTGGCCCAGAAATATTTCTGTGTACCTTTTTAGCAGGAGACCTCCGTGCTCTCCTGCCTGTGCGTACCTATCAGACGTGATGGGGCTGCTTGCTTGGGTGGGGAGTGCTGAGGTGCTGGGCACACTTTCAGATACTTTACTCCTGACCATAAGTGGGCATACAAGCACCTGGACCCACAGTGCGTGGTGGGCCACCGTGGGCTCGCTGTGGTCATTGTGTTAGGCTCAAAAGTGTTCCAGAGCCAGAATGCAGAAGGAGATTTTCTCCTTCTATCTCAGTCCCACTGGCCCAGTTTTCTCTCCACCCACTGGTCCCACAGTTGCTTAATGAATAGCCACTCTGTGACTTACTATCAGTTACAATTGTTTAGCCAATGGCTCAGGCTTCCTACTGGCTAGCTCTCTCTTAACCTGGAGTCTGAACATTTTTTCAAGCACTTTTGTGTCTTTCAGCCTTCATTGAGACGTTTAGTGTTATTCCAATGGTCCACCTTCACACGCTGGTTGGGGTTTTTCCATTGCCTCTTTTAATATCTTCCTTGGCTCTGCATGTTTACTATTTTGATTATTGTGTGTCTTGGAGGATTTAATCTCTGGACCTGTCTTTTTTTGTTGTTCTATAAGGTTCTTGTACCTTTACAGGAACCTCCTTCTTTGGAATTTGGAATTTTTCTTCTTTGTTTTTATTGAAAACATTTTCTATGCTTTTGGCTAGGGTTTCTCCTCCTTCTTCTGCTCCTATTACTCTTTTTTTTTTAGTTTCCCACATTGCATGGATATTTTTTGTATGAATGTTTTTAGATTTAATGTTTTTTTTTGACTGAGGTGTCCATTTCTTCTACCTTGTCGTCACTGTCTGAGATTGTCCCTTCCAAATCTTACACTCTGTGGCTGGGACTTAACCTGTGAGGGTTTTGTTTGACTTCTTAAATTTTTCATTTCATGTTGTATCTCATTTTAGGTTTTCCTTAGTGATTGTATTTCTACTTTCACATCTTGAACTATTGTCAGCATTTCAATGCACTACTTTTGTTTGTTTTTGTGTGTGTGCATTTTCACAGACTTCTGTTTTGGACCAAGGGGAGAACAGCTCCCGTGATCTGCTCCAGAGCTGCTAAAAAGAAAACCTCAGGAGAGTGGGTTTAAGAAATTTTTTTTATCTGGGAGTAATTAGAAATAAGTCTCTATCTATCTGACAGGTAAGTAATGAAACACAAGCACTTTCTGATGGTAACGTCTCATTTACTCCATCTTAATCAATCCTCTCTGAATTCTCTCCGCTTCCACACTGCTGCGTAGTTTTTTCTTACAGTTCCTGATGACCTCTAAAACAGCCTCCACTACTTACAGCTCTGCCCACTTCCTTTCTCCTCTGTCCAATTCTCCTCTTGCTCTTCTATGCCTAGAGTTCAATGAAATGCATCGCTCCACATACCCAAATGTGCGTAACACAGCGAAAGAGGTGCTAAGAGAAAAGTTCATCAGACCATGCGCCTTCCTAATGAAATTGTAGATAAAATTTAAATGTCCTTGTGAAAATCAGATGTAAAGTAATTGAGAGCACAGACTAAAGTACTATAGTGTGTTCATGGTGAAATCACCCTTCAGATTTCATATCACACTGTGTATCTTAGAGGGTTTCGGGATTGAATCCCACACAGCACAACACTACGCACTGCAATGGAGAGGCCCCCTGCTCTTTCTTCTTCTATTTCCCCCCTTGTCCAGCCTTGTCACCATCACATTGGTCACATCTTGGGGTCGAGGGAAATTCAAGACTTGTGAGTCATAGGACATATTCTTACTACCCAATAAACAGCAAGAATCCCATCATGTCCCATAAATACTATTTACTGTTTTCATTTTAATGATTATGTATTATAATCATTAATATACTGATTCATTTTAATGATATATATCAGTAGGCATGGTAAAAGAACTGGTATTGAGGAATGCTGAGAATAAGAGAGCATTCCCCAGAGAAGAGCTCAACAATTGGCCATCCTATACCAAAGGTCAGACCTGAAAACTTGGATACAATCAGCATTATATAGACTAAGCATGTTGTTTTTATGTAATTTGGAATACATGTAATAACATTTTTAATGAAAAATCAAGCTATGAATTGGAAGAGAGTAGGGAGAGGTATATCAGCATATTTGTATGGAGGGAAGGGAATGGGGAAATAATGTAATTATTGTTGTGCCCAAATTCTGAACCTCCCAAATCACCAAGAGACCCAACCCAATTCAAAAGCAAAGAGTCTTTAATTAATTAACGAATTAACTGTAGTAACTCAGGTCCCCCTTCCACAGCAGGTGGAGCAATAAGGACCTGGTGGGTCCGTGTGGCAGGGAATTTATTAGGGTAGAGCAAGGGGAGTGTCTGGGGTCTGCAACAGTTTCAGGATTGGTGCACTTCCAGGCTTGGGAGACCTGCCCTATGTTGAGTGGTCAACTGTACCTACAGGTAGGTTGCTATAGCCTATAGGCCCTCCCAGGGTGGTTGCTATGCTCTACACTCCACTGTTACCATAAAGCTCAGTCCAGAGCCCGCCAGCTAACTTCTGATTGGTTCCTTGCCACATGGAGGATGTCTGGCTTCCCAGTGACTGGGGCAAGGTCGGGCAAGGTCAGAAGCTCAGCACATCTTGCTGAGTCAGAGGCCTACCTCTTACTGGGTCTTTTCTACAGCCTGTTACGGCTGCCAAAACAGGGGGCTGGGTGAGGCTCTGGTCCCTTCAATTATAATCTCAAGAACTAAAAGATGTAGAAAAACAAATTTACGTCACTATTACTGGTGCATGATTTTCAGAAAATGCATGCATGGTTTAAAAACTAAGGATTTTTGATCAGTATGTGTTCTTTGAAAACACAGCTGCAATAAATGTCTGGAACTTATTCTAGTATTGTAGCTCAGCACTATGCTCCCGAGACCTCTGCCCTATGCACTAGTGGTTGCTTCTTTGTTCTTCTGAGCCTGTCCTACGTGGGAGATTTTCAGTTTTCTTTCCCATACACCCACTGATGCCATTTGAGTTGTTCTCCGTTTGAAGGTGAATAAAGTCTTTTAGTATTTTCTTAAAAAAAAAAAAAAGCAAAAGAGGTTCACAGTACCACAGAATAAGGGGCCATCTCTTTGCACTAGATGCAAGCAATTTTCACTTGTCAAATTCATGCGGGTTAAAACCATTGAATTCCAGAGATTTTCAAATAGACTTTTCAGATCAATGCTGACAGAGGGCCCCCGAAGGCCTAGAAAGAAAGCTTAATCAAGGATGCAATGCTGACTCCATGGTGATCAGACCCACTAACACTCCCTCCTAGAACACCAACCCACAGTCAGCTATTCCTGCAAGCAGAATTATGTGTTAACCACATAAAAATTCACTTCCACGCAAATGGAAAGAAACCAGAATACTGCATTTTAAGTGGAGCTTTATTTTGAGGACATAGCTTTGTGTATTCTCTTTTTAAAAGTTAAGTCTAAAAATCATTCTGAGAAACATTAATACAAAGGAGTTGAGAGCATGGGTTAAAGTATCTGTAAGGGGTTTTGTTTTGTTTTAGGGTGAACATGCCTTGGAGTTCACACCACACTGTGGCTCTTAAGGTATTTGATTGTTGGATCCTACGATGGGGAGCCCCCTTGCTGTTTCTGCTCCTCTTCCCCCAGTTCAGACATTCTTTTTTTCCCACCATCATGCATCTCCCATCTTGGGGCAGACGTCTCTGAGACAAAGGTGTAGTGGTTTCTCCACTGGTTGACTAACTTTATGTTGCCATCCATGTTACTTCTACTGAAATAAAAGCACATGTTGCATTAATCAGGAAGAATGCAGAAAGGTGGTTTTGTCATAATTACCCCCCTCCGCCCCCTCAACATCTGTCCTGCAAGGGCACTAGCCGTGTTTAAAGCTCAGCAAGCTGTACATTTACCCTGAGCAAGAAGAAAAAGTTTGTCACCTACAACCAAACATCGACTCTAGCCACAATCCACCGAGCAGAACACACTTAGGCTAGCGGTGAACTATGAGTTGTTCCACAGCTGACATGAGTGAGAACTTCATTTCGTTCTTTGCTTCCCAGAGGGCAGTTGAGTGTGGGAATATGACGCCCTCATACCTGATTCTGTACAGGAGCACCTTTCCCTGCCAAACCCTCAAATTTAGGGGCTTCATCCGTTGGCTGTGCTTCAGTGGTTTCCTCCTCTCCAAACATGGGGAACAAAAGTTTATCCATAATATTCTTGAATTCACTGTCGTTCTTCATGGGGAAAGAAAAAAAGCAAACAGAACATTGAAAACCATCAGACTAACTGTGAAAATGTGAAGCGAAGAGATATGGAGCTAAGCCATCTAAGCCACACTCACCAAATCATCAAAGTCGTCCATTTCTAAGTTGAAGCCGCCGTCATTCTGGTCGTTTTCCTTTTTGTAGAGTTGAATAAAGCAAAATGAGATGTTGAAAACCAAAGGGCTAACTGTGAAAATGTGAAGCGAAGAAACACGGAGCTAAAGCCGCCTAACCCGCACTCACCAAGTCATCAGCGTCTTCCGTTTCTGCTTGGACGCTGTCACTGTTTTTGCCGTTTTTCTTGTTGTAGAGTTCAACTTTCTTCATAAATTCCTCCCATAGTTCTCTTCTGAATCCTTCGTTGTTCTAGAAATAACGTAAGTGACAGCATTTCCTTCATGTTAACTACACACACACACACGCACGCACGCACGCACGCACGCACGCACGCACGCACGCACGCACGCACGCACGCTGACTAAGTAGGCTTGCTGGGACAGATAAAAGGGGAGTCCCGGAGTCTCAGAACACTATAGTTACCCACTCTCCACACCCCACATTTCAGCAATGCAGGCCACCTCGTGTTCCATAGCATACAACTTCAAGAAGTTCCTTGGCGGCAGCTGATCCCTATGGCCTAACTTATGCTTCAATACTCCCATCAGCAACGACTAGTCCTTCTGAGATCCCTTTGGGAAGCTCCCGTGTTACTAACCTGCTGGTTTTCTATTGGCTGCTCTTGCTGTTCTGCACCCAGGCTGGGATCAGAGGACTTAGAGGCTGACACCACCGCCAAGCCCAGGATGACCAGGAAGACAGCAGGAGCCATGTCTCAAGCACCTGGAGGAAAAAGGGGAGAAATCCTAGTCTGCACACGTCAAAGTTACTACAGTGTTTCCTTCTTTACTGAGAAATCAGAGCGGCCAACGGTTGGGGATTCCAAGCATTTATCTAAGCAATATGTAATAGGCTAAAAGGCACGGTTTGTTTGAAGAAAACATGCGGATGTATTTGTAGGGCCACCAACATGAGTAGCTTGCTCATGGCTCTGGGGATGGAAATAGTAAGTAACGTGAGCTTCAGTTATCAGACAGATGTCCGTGTACCCCATGATTCCAAAAGCTATAGCTGTAACTAAGGACGTAAGGCAGAGGAGTAGGTCTAGAACTTTTGGGAGTAAAAGAACTTCAAGAACTGAGGGACACTGGATTCCTTCCAGCATATTATATAGTAGGAGTTACCCTAGGTCTTGGACCCTGTCCCCTCTTGAATAATAACAGTGAAGCCTCTCCTTTCCAGTGGACGTAGGGAAGATAACATCTACCCATCCCTCTGACACACATTGTCACTGCGCCTCCGGGGTCTCTGCTCACTGCCTCAAAGAGGAAGGGGTCCACAGGGTCATGCCACTAGAAACCAGAACCACTAGTGTTGAGCGGAGTGACGAGAAAGGGCTTCACAGGGTCATGCCCCTAGAAGCCAGAGCAAGTGGAGGAGGGCAGAGAGAGTACTCGCAAGATACTCAGCTCCAGATGCTCCTGTCTTCCATTGAACTCTCCCCCCGGCCCCCGCCCCCGCCAGGATATGCCAGGTCAGGGGCACACTGCTCGGTGTTCCCTCTGAGCAGGCAGGAAGAGACCCGAGGTTTTGACTCGGTTTGATATGGAAACAGTGATCTCAGCTGAATGGGAAGCGCTGGGCATGGCTGCCATTGTGCAGGGGACCAACTGTCATGCCCTGAGACCAGGCTCGCACTTGTACTCCTGGGGATCCAGCACGAAGTTGGACGCCCGAGGGGCCTGGTTGGCTCTTTCATTCCTCCGCCCATCTTCCTCTGCTTCTCTACCAAAGGCTCCAGAGGGTAAGATTTTCTCATTCTTAATAGATCTGCCTCATTCTCCGGGGAGTCTCTCCAGGACTCTCCTCCAGTTCCCAGCCTGCTTTGGCAGAGCCAGGGCCTCACCTGAAGTGTCCAACGCTGCAATTGTGGAACTCCACTGACTCTGCTCTTCACTGGTTTCCTGGGGATCCAGAATCTATCCCTGCTGCGCGCTATTCCGTCTTTAAATCCCTACTCTCTGGCTGTGAAGCCCCACCCAACAATCCTAACTTCTTTATGGTTGGGAGTGCTGGTGACAGCATTGGGCCTCAGGCTCTATCACTCCAGGTGTTAACAGAAATCTGATTTCACCCTGTCCTGGAGGATGGAGTGATGGGTTGTCACAGTGGACTAAGGGAGGTGTGGGGGGATGTGCAAAGCCCCCCTTTTTAGGCTTTTATTTATTTATTTTTATATTTTATTTTTAAATTTAAATTAGAAACAAGGTTGCTTCACATGTCAATTCTAGGTCCCTCTCCGTTTCGCTCCCCTCCTCCTATGCCCTCCTTCAAAGGCCCCCTTTAAAAGACAGTAGGGAATGAAGCCTTGAAGCCTGGGATCCTTTAGTACCCTGTAGTTGTGCTTTCTTTAAGAAAAAAAGTGTTTCCAGGTCATTTTGAAGTATATTCAAGTTTATATTCGGTATATTCAAGTTTAATGTCTCCTGGTGGGAATACTTCCCCAGTGTCTGGGTTGAATCCGGGCGGGTTTAAAAAAATAGTTAGGGGAGAGGCTGGAAGCATGACTCTGCAGTTAAGAGCACTCGCTGGTCTTGCAGAAGACCCAAGTTCAGCTCCCCTGACCCACCTGGGGCTCCCAACAATCTTTTAACTCCAGTTCCAGGGAATCCAATACTCTCTTCTTATATCACTGGACACGAGGCATAAAAAATAGTGCAGGTAAATGCACATATACCCAAAACAACATTAAATAAAAAATTTTAAGACAAGGGAATAGTTAGATGAAGGCTGCCTTGAGACAGAGAGGAGACAGCCAAGGGCAAACCCTCGGGTGAGACAGGATGAAAGGACCGGATGAAGGTCTCCTATGATGCCTCCCCCAGTTATGCAACCTGCCTAGTCTCCTTGCTCAGAGATGCTCCAACCTCTCGTTTATTTAGCAACCGATTCTTATTGTAGCAACCAATTAATGATATACGATTTAGTCGCTAAAAGGTTGTGTTAATAAGTGGGAAAGAGTAAGTGAGAAATAAGGAAAATTTTTTCAGTTGCTGTATGGAAACCCACCTTGAGATTTATTTATGTTTAATACACTTCATGAACCCCAATGAGATAAAGAGATCTCAAGAATGTTTTAGGTAGAAGAGAACACAGGTACATAATGATAAATACTGACTACTACAATCCAGGTCTTAAAAACGGAGGTCACCAGGAGAACAAGGTCCACCAAATCAACTAAGCAGGGCTCACATGGCCTCACAGAGACCAAAGAGGCAAGCATAGGGCTCGCGTGGGTCTGTATCAAGTGCTCTGCATATGTTCTGGCTGTTAGCTTGGTGTTTTTGTGGGACTCCTATGAGCGAGAGCAGGTGTATCTCCGACTCTTTTCCCCCTATTGGGTTGCCTTGTCCAGCCTCAATGAGACAGTTTTTGCCTTGTCTTATGGTATCTTGTTTTGTCCTGTTTGGATGTCATCTCTCTGAGGCCTGCTCTTCTCTGAAGAGGAAACAGAGGGATTGGATCTGGGGGAGAGGAGAGGTAGGGGGAAGCAGGGAGGAGTGAAGGGGGGAAACTGTGACCAGAATGTATTGTATGCGAGAAGAATCTATTCTCAATATAAAAAAAGGGTTCAGAAATGTCCCAAATCATTAGGATTTTTCTCACTAACATAAAACACACGTTTGTTACAGAAATCTTTTCCAGTAAAAAGAATCTTGCCATCTCCGCAACAATATTTTTTTAAAGATTTATTTATTACATATACAGTGTTCTGCCTATATGCCAGAAGAGGGCACCAGATTGAATTGTAGATGGTTGTGAGCCACCATGTGGTTGCTGGGAATCGAACTCAGGACCTCTGGAAGAGCAGTCAGTGCTCTTAACCTCTGAGCCATCTCTCCAGCCCCCTCTGCAACAATATTTTAACAACTATTTTCTTTTACTTATTCCATCGAGATGAAATAATAATTTACGCATTTTTGTACATACCGTGATTTACAGTTTTATCTGATTGAGATTCATTTGACCACCACCCAGAAGCACCATGTGACCTGCCACTCTTTTCATTGAGTGGCATATAAAATAAATGAAAGTCCCATTTTAACTATTCTAGCTTTGGTACCCAGTGGCACTGGCCCTGTAGAAAAGCCATTCAAAAAGATAAATCATGGGCCTGCAAGATAAATCTTGAAAGGTGAACACATCTTCCAGGAAGCCTGGTGGCTTGAATTTAAGGGACTCAATAGTGGTGGGAGAAAACTGACTCCTGTATGTTGTACTTTAACCTCCATACACACACCTTCCCCCCAAATTTAAAATACATGAACAACAAAAATATAATGTTCCTTAAATGGAAAAAATTGGGTCCCCATATCATGTGTTCAACTTTGTTACTTTTTAAGGATGTATAGTATTTATCACCTAGTGTAGTGATTTGAATGAGATGTCCCCATGTTCTTGGATACCTACATGTTTGGTCTTCAGTTGGTGACACTGTTTGGGTAGGTTTAGGAGACCTGGCGTTGCTAGGGGAAATGCGTCGCTGAGTGTGGGCTTTGAGCATTGAAAAGCTACGCCCTTGTTTCTGGTGCTCTCTCTGCTTCTTGTTTGTGTTTTGAGATGTGAGCTGTCAGCCACGGCCCCAGATGTCATGTCTGCTACCCGCTGCCATGCTGCCCCCCTTATTATGAACGCTAATCCTCTAGAATCATAATCCATAAATAAACCATTACTTCTCCAAAATGCCCTGGTAATGTTGTTTTATTACAGCAATAGAATACTAACTTATACACATAGAGACATCAACTGTTTTTCTGTACATTGTGTCATGGATATGTTTCCCCAGCAAGTGGGCAAAGGAGATACAATACTTGTCTCCCCTACACTGCTAAATGTGGACAAAGCCTAAATTTGACCCACAGAATTTGTAATGCAAGGAAAGCAGTTATGGATGTTCAAACAAGAGAGAATGAACCATTACTGTTGCTATAAGTCATTGCGATGCCTGTTTATATAGAAAAGAATCTAATAAATTGTACTCAGCTCATCATCTTAGTTTAGACCTCTAAATCTTGTGCTAAGCCCATCTGTGCAAGTCTTTGTAGCATCCTGTTTCAGCCAACAAAGCTATTAAGTCAGCTTAGCACGGACATCCACCATTACTATCTGATAGTCCTCTCTGATCAGGAGATTTTTTTTTTCTCTACCAATGCCCCAGGTTATGTCTCCTCCTACGGCCAACAGCAAAATTCCTGTAAGTCTGTTTAGTCAGAATCCCTTTCACCCTGGTGCTTCTTAGCAGTTTTCTGTCTACTGGGCCTCCATCTGCCCCTTGCTATGAAACTACTTGCATAACCACATAGACGTGACAACTAGCACCCTCTTGCTCTCATGCCTCTCACACGGGGCTCTACGCAAACGACTCCTATAGTTGTAGCCTAGTCCTTAGCACAGTTTCCCTAGTCATTTTAATAAGTAATTAATTCTTTGGTTCCTAGATATGCCTTAACAAGCAACCATGCCCTTATTTCTCTTAAACACTTGTCTCCTACCCTTTCCTTTTCCCCGTGCCTCACTAGAATAGCAGACATTCTAATCAAAGGAAGACGCACGTTCTTGGGGATCCCGAGTCCTCAATCCTAGAATGTTAGGATCATGGTCTACTTCTTCTGATGTATCACGATCTGAGAACTAAGTTGGAAAAAGCAAATGTTGAATGACAGATGGAGGGTGGACAGTGAAGACACTGAAAGTGAGGCCAGTTGGTCCAATGCTTTGTGTTTGTTCTGTGGAAAGGAGAACAAGAGTCTATTCTTCTCCATGAAGCCCCAATAGCAGATCAAAGAAATTATCACAATTAAGTTTAGAGTAGTAAAACACGGAATGTATTTGGGTTCATTAATAGAACTTAGGTGAAGGTCTATTTGCCAGAGAATCAGTGACTCCAAGTGGCCATTGCCACTGAAAAATCCCACAGCATCCTGGATAACTGTCTTGGAATATTCCTTTAAAGTGTTTGAAGATGTGTCTCTACAATAGGTTTAAT